TTTGGACTGGTATATAAGCAAAATGTTTTTGGTGTAGAAATATTTTGATAATCTTTTTGCAGAAAAAAAGCTCTGCGGTTTCTTTAATGCTTTCTTTTATATCTAATTTCAATGCTAAATGTGTCTAGATTGCACAAGAGCAGGTTAGTCTTGTAACTGTGCCTCTGACGACTTCAAAGTCCAACTACTAAATTGTAAAAATCAGATCAAATAGATGCTATGTTGTTAGCCTTTGTTTTTTTTTTCCTTGTTCTTTGTATTAAACTTGTTGCTGTACTTAACAGATGAAAGTTTTTAAATTTAGCAAATGATAGGCTACAGACAAAGGAAAATTATGGTTTCGTTTGGCTATAGATAAAATGTAAGGCAAAATGATTCTGTAGACAACTGTAAATAAAACCTGTGAGTCAACTGAGCAGTGAGTGCTTTCTCTTGGAAACATAAGCAAATCTTTCTTTATAACCTGTGCTGACAGATTATTTTGTTGTTGTTGTTCTCTCTTACTGCAATGCAAGAAGGGCAGTATGTGCACACTTACCTGGCCGTATGTATCATAAATTTTCAGATTGTTTCAGTTCTTTAAGTACTGAGAATATTTTTGGATTTGAACAGCAGCACGTTTAAAACGAGCTTTTACAAAACTTCAAGGTATTTTCTTCTGTATGTGTTCCACATTTTCTCTTCAGAAAGTTTTTAGAGGAAGCAGTATGTTTAAATTACTTCGATTTCTGCATGTTAAAATACAAAGGCGCAGCGACTATGGTAGTCTTTGCATGCCTGTTACAAATGACACAAAATATCTCTTTTTAGTTACTGGATCAGCAAATAAATTAGAACCAAGCTATTAGAACTAAACATGGTCCACCTCTGATAAGACACAAAGCTAGATTAAGCTCAGGCAGTAAAAAGGTGTGGGTTTACTGTAGTAGGGTGTTTGGGGAGGTAGAATTATCTCCAGTGGCCTAGCAGTAAATTTTTCTGTTTCACTATAAAATATTTCCCTTGCCCTCAGTTTAGCCATTGGGGTCAGATAAATTGCTGCCTATAGAAATAAACAGGTATTTCTGTGCAGCTTTGTCAAAGATCAGTGCAATTTGTAATGGCCAAGGAGGAAGTGTTGATTAGGTTAAGTTTAGGGCTAATGTGCTTTTCTAAGAAAAATTAAATACATCCATGAATAGTAATGGTGGTTTTGTGTAAGCATTCTTCTGTAGTAATGGAAAACTAGAAAGTGAGTAAATAAAAGCAGACTGGACTTTAATTTTATATAAGTTTGGCAACAGAGTAAAATCGACTGCTGAAAAATGTTTCTTTTTTTCTCAGATAGATAGTCAATAAAAAGCATTAAAATGTACATGTTGGTACATCATAAAACAAGATTGCTTCATTTCCACACCAGGTAACCAACTCCTGTACACTGTTGTCTGATGCAAACAACTGTGATGAACCACTGGAGATCAAATAGTTGCTGTGTTAGGTCTTACTTCTCACTAGCCTGCCCAAACTTAAATTTAGTTATAATGAGCTACTGCAAGTTATTTGTTATGCCTAGTAATCTGCAACATTTTCATCCTTTTCAGTGCATTAGGCATTTGCTCATTTGCCATGCCTTATTCTGTTGGGGGGCTTTGGGGAGGGTAACATGTTGCAGCATGGGCTTGTATTGATGATTAGCAGGCCAGTGTTTTAAATTATAGCATTTTGAATGCAATGGCACTATCATCACTCCACCTTTAGGGAATAATGAGCGTAAACAACATTTCAGGAGTAATGAAAAATACTAACACCGTTGAAGACAGTTGAAACCTCTCCAGTTTCAACATAGCACTGCTAGACAAATGTTGACAAACAAATACCAAGTAGGGCAGGATAACTTTAAGTAGTAATAGTGTATTGTGCCTTTCATCCAGGTATCAGAAAAGGCTTCTTAAAAACAAATTTTGAAAATCGAGAGCTGACCAATGGAGTTTGGCATTCCCAGGATGGTACAGGGTGTGAATGGAGGGGTTAGGAGCAGAAGTTTCATTCTCCGTAACCACCTCACTTTAACTGGTAACCATGACAATTCAATGTTGTTTTCCATTAGGAAAGACTTGATGCTGGAGTCCTTTTCAAGTCAGATATCAACTGAGTTACTAACATCCTAGAGTGAATATTCTTACGCAGTATGAAAAGATACTTTAAATGGGGAAAAAAAGTTTGACTGAAGCCAGTGGAAGTTTTAAGGGACAGGCTACTCCCACATCCCCTCCAGTCCCAGTAATGCACCCTTCACTCTTCTCAGTTAATGGCAATGCCTCAGGATCAACCTGTCTTCACAATGCATTCCTGTTTGAGGAGTTTCTCTGCCTGGGATGCTCCCTCTGCTTGAGTCTATGCTATAGCTTTCATGTGTTTTTGGGGAAGGAACTCTGCAGCTAATGTTTTTAATCAATTCCATAGTTTGTTCTTGGAGTATTAATCAAAATGTATCACTGGTCATAGAACTTTCTGTCTGGAATTCCTTTAACATAAAGGATTTTTTTGTTCTTTAATCAGAAATAACAGCTAATAGGGTGTTTGTTTGGGGCTGGGTTTTGGGGGGGTTTGTTGGATTTTTTTTAAATATGAAAGTATAGATATTTGTGCAAACTTTTCCAAAATTTGGACAAGGCAGCAACAAGAGGGAGTAATGCTCCTGTAACAGTTCAATAATGACAACAGCTTTGGCAAAGTCCTGCACAATTTACTAACTTTACCTGTCCTCCCATTATCAAAATGAGTAGTATTTTTATTGGAAAAAGAGGTTGTTTACACATGCATTTTAGAAAAAAGTCTGTAGAGTGCTTCATACTTAGTTTGGAAAATGGAACTAATAAATTGATGCTTTCTCATAGGCTGGTTATGGACCCCATCCAGAAATAACGCACAACGAAGCTAACAGGGAACATTCCCATTGTAAAACTGCGGGGTGCAAATATCAAGCACAGTACCAAATGGTGGCACAGAAACTTTCCAAATGGCAGAGGGGGGACGCAGATGATGTGTGCTGAACTCACGGTAGCTCCAAATCAATGGACAAGGCAGCAACAAGAGGGAGTAATGCTCCTGTAACAGTTCAATAATGACAACAGCTTTGGCAAAGTCCTGCACAATTTACTAACTTTACCTGTCCTCCCATTATCAAAATGAGTAGTATTTTTGGAGGAAAAAGAGGTTGTTTACACATGCATTTTAAAAAGTCTGGATTCCTTAAGGACAGATTGCTGTACATGCTCTAGAAAGTAGAGAATTAACAAAGAAGCCACAGCTCAATAATTTATAAAGCAAGCCATAACTTCTAATACGGCTCGTATTTATTAGAAATGTGGC